TTCTTGATTGTCAGTAATCGAATTAATTAATGGACATTATATCTTAAACATGGGGAGATAAATAAAGTAATTATTATTGGAGTCTCAATTGTAAATTGGGCTAGGAAAAGGAGTGCAATAATATTATGTTGGTGGACCATTTAATATTATTTAATTAATTAAAATAAGTGGCTTGGTCCACAGTATTTTGATTAATTAAGGAGTCCTAATCCTAATCTCCTAAGGATCCCTACTGTAGCTCTATATATACATCATTAAGCTCATGGGAAGAGAAGAGAATTCCACATCTTGTGAAACACGCCCCACGCCTCTCTTCTCTCTCTCAGTTCTCATTCGAGCTTTATCTTCTTCTTGTTGTTCCACTGGTACAAGATTAAGAGGTGTTTGAGATATACAGTAGAAGACCTTTGGGTAAAGTGAGATGAAATATATTTTGTGGTACAGAACTAACCGGATGTCCGATCAAGACGTGCAGAATACCCAGAAGACTGTCTCGACGAGAGCTTTCCAACGCCGCCGAGATCGCAGCCGTCCGACCACCCACTCGCCCGCACGCGGCGCCGCAAGGTCACAGGACTGCAACTTGTCTTAATCCGTTTTGCAGTCGTTTGATTCGGTTTTCGATCCGATCTTGTTCGTGCAATCCTAGGACGCGATTTGCAGTCAATAATTCATTGGTGTGCTGTGTACGACCATCCAAAAGATCAGCCAGATCGCCATAAATTTTAAGCCGTAAGTTCTCTACGCAAACCTTTAGATCCTCTGCGCATAGGTTTACGTTTTGCTATTGAATTCGTGATTTGTGCATAACGAGATCTTCATGATCCCAACAAAAAGTTGACTCATAAGAGAGAGAAATGAAAATAAATAACTTACTCATTTAATTCCTTAATTCGCGCAACAGGAATTCTTTTAATTCACGCGACTGTCAGGTGGTATATATTACGTTTATGTTAGTATATATTCAGTATATGCGCGGAAATGGAATTTCTTAATTCACGCAGTTGTCAGGTGGTATATATTGCGTTTATGTTAGTATACATTCAGTATATGTTGCAATGAAAAAGACATGTCTTCCATACAAAAATTATTCCTCTTTTTTTTTTGTTTCTTTTATTCATATTATAACAAATTACGTAATATAAAACCATACATATACACAACAACAACAAAAAAAAATCAGTTTATGCTAAATATAAATTGATTTATACATAAAAATTATGTCTCACGATAAATTTCTTTATCATATACCGAAAATAAACTCAATATAAACCATACATATAAAAAAAATAAAAAAAAAATCAATTTATGCCTTGTCAAATTCGTTTTCTAACAAAAAAAAAATCTTCTAATATAGCCAACATAAACTATGAATGAAACATTGAAAACAGAAAAAACAAACATCCATTCACAAACTAATTGTACATAACTAAGACAATAACAATACATAACTAAAATTTACATATATTGTACATATACTCCTTTATTCCAGCAGATTGTACGACTATCTGGCTCTATTCCAGCAGATTTCATTTCGTTCAATAGAGCTTCAGCCATGCCCATATCTCCTCTCTTGAAATAGCCAGATAAGAGGACCGTGTATGTGACTGTATCAGATTGTAAACCTTGCTCAATCATCTCATTGAACAGGAAAATAGCATCGTCAAGGTTATCTGCTTTGCACTGGTTGTCAATCAACCGAAAAAAAAATAAAAAAAAAATCTCATTTTTGTCTCATATTAAATTCTACTAAATATACACTATTTGGAATAAATAAATAAAAGACTCGTCAATTACTATACCAATGAGACATAATCCAGACCCCAATACATAATTGCAAGTTGCATTCTTCCAGGCAGTAAAAATCACTCCCAAAAAAAAAAGAGAAGTTAGGAATCAATAATCAACTCGTACTACACTAAGGCACCCTCAGCTTAAATCTCCAAAAGATTGACAAATATAACTGAAAATGATCGAGTAGATGTAACCAACGATGAATACCCCGGCCTCTGAAGTTTTCGTTACGAAACCCTCCACATGAAGAAGCAATCTGACCCCTCCCACTACAACTGTAGAGATATAATAATGGGCATATAAAAAAACACACAAATAATCGCTTGAGATATAAGCGTAAAATTGTAGGAGAAAGAAGAAAAAGATGAAGAGAGAGAGGGGAGCGGGAGAGGGAGAGAGAAGACGAAGAGAAAGGGGGAGGCAGAGAGATAAAGTGCATATTTAATTTCAATTAAGGATTTCATTAGCATTTAATAAGCCAGAAAAAAGGTAATAACAATTACATCTTATGTGTTAGGTATAATTGAAATATTTTGAGCTTGTTTAAGCAATTTTATAAATAAGAATATAAGGAATATATAAATATAATAAAAATCATAACTTGAAATAATGACTGCAAATTCCTCAAAATTATTCCTCTCTCCTCCACCTACACCACCCAACTTTTAACAACCTATATATCTTTATTCACAACTCAACCCAACCCAACCCAACCCAACCCAATATTTATTTTATTTTGATTTATTTATTTATTAAATATTATCTACAATATATTTTTTGATATTATTTTAGTTGTGATAAATTAATTAAAAAATCTATAATAAAATTTGGAAAATTAGTAAAATTAGTTTGATCATTTGTTGGAAATTAGGAAAAATAAAAGGGATGATAAAATTAATAAGGTATGATAAAAAAAGGGTGAAAAGAGAGAAATTTCAATTGTGTTCAAAATATATCAAAAGTGCTCGCTATTTATAAAGGACAAAAAAATACAAATTTTGATATTTTTTTTAAATATAAAATAATATTAATTATTTGAGTTACCTTATCTTATTATTTTAAGTTATACATTGGACCAATGGGAATTGGACTAGTGTCCCCTTCCCTCATCCCTTTATCCAAAATAGGCAAAA